GAAACTCATTTATTTACTCCAACGAAAAAACCAAAATAAATATTCCCAATCAAATAATCCTCCAAAACCCTAATACCCATAATCAACAATAACATAAAATTCATCTATCTTTTGGATAAATTCAAAGCCCTAATTCTGACCCTAATTTCGAAAACCCTAAGTCCAACAACAACCAACCAATATACAATTGACAATTTACAGCAAAATTCCAATCTCCAATTCAACATACACACATAATCGATAAACAATTAACAATTCTCAATCTTCAAACACCACCACATTCAAACATACTATAACAATTTCCAATCTCCAAACAACTCCAAATAATGTAAAAAGTTGAGATAAGCCAATATACCTTGCGCGAATGAATTAACCGAAAATGAGGCTCATGTCCCTGTTGTCGGTTCACGCCGGGGTGGGGATGGGATCGCATTTTTTTTCCCCGAAGGTTTTTTCTCTACTTCTTTCTCTGTTCTCACTCTCTGTTCTCTCTTAAATTCTCGTAAGTGAAATGGAGAAGAGATTCTTTTTTTTTTTTATATTTGATTGTAAAACTTTTTCTCAGAATACGTTTTACTTTTATTTAATTGTAAAACGTATTCTGAGAATACGTTCTTCAAATTTATTTTTTTTATATTTAAATTTCTAAACGTATTTATGAAGTACGTTTTTAATAGATTTTCTTTTTTAATTTATTTAAAACAAAACGTATTTAGAAAATACGTTTTTTAAAACCCTAAAATTCAATTTTAGGGTTTTGATAAACGTATTTACATAATACATTTTATAATTACTCTTTTTAATTCCATTCGACTTTTAAATGGAAAATAATTTTTTTTAAAATTTCACAAAATTAATTTTAAAACTTATTACCGAAATACGTTTTTCTAATAAAATTTTATCAGAAAAACGTATTCCGAGAATACTTGCTTTTGATTTTTGTCCATTCTTTTTTTTTTTATTTATTTTTGTCCACTTGTTTTTTTTTAAATAAATAAAGCACCCACAATATGATTCAAGTACATATAAACTTTATATTTATATTATATATATGGTCGCACTCCGGTGAGAATTGTACTCAGTGAAAGAAATAAGAATAAATTTTAGCCATTAGATCATATGATCAAATGGCTAAAAAATATGCTAATTTTTACATTCATTAAGGGTAATGTGGTAATATACCAACCATCCAACTCAGTGGGACCCACCCCACCATCAATAATACGCATCTTATAGCCTGTCATCCGGCATTCCCACTCCTCTCTCTCTCTCTCTCTCTCTCTCTCTCTCACACACACACATGCACTGAAATCTCTCAATCTCACATACACACATTCATTGAAATGGTAACACACATACACGGCCGCCGGTCGTCCCCACCGCCTGTCGCCGCCTCTACTCTCCCGCCGGTGACCTCCACCACCCTCGGACAAGCTGCAGATCCGCCGTCGTCGGCGACGGCACAGATCGGCGGGGAGTGAACCGCTACCACCGCCATGAAATCCTCTGCTCGACATCGTTCACTGCCCACCGTCATGAAATCCGCCGTCGTCACCACGCCTGCTGCAACATATCTCTCCCGCCCCTCTGCCGCGAAGATCCCGCTGTCGTCGTCACTCCGCCTGCTGCAGCATATATCCCCTCCACCCGCCGAGAAGATTCCGCCGCCCCCCACTCCGCTTGCTGCAGTGACTGTCGAAGAATGTCTCAAAGAGGTATGGGGCGCCGTCAGCCCCAATAGAGGCCGTGGAGACCCTGCCGGATGTTGAGGTGGAGGCCGGAGGCAGTCCAGTGGTCGATTTGCGTGGACTGACCAGTGGTCAAATAGATGTTAGGGCAAGCATAATTTGGGGATTTGATTTTGAATTGAAGATTAATGATGTTAATGATGACGGGGAATGGGGATGAGATGGCTTAATTTTGAAAATTAGATAAGTGTTATTGACTTAATTGTAATGTTTTAAATTTTTATAAATTGCAATTTAATCCTTGGATTAATTTACAACTTATTAAGAATTTGATAAATGCACAATATTTTGATAAATAAAATGCACATCATTTAGTATTTAGTATGAACATGAAACTTAAAATATACAATATTGTATAATGAAAAATACGGTTAGATGGAGTGCACAATAATACATGTTAGATATCACATTAGTGTATATTTTGGCGCACTGAACTATATAAGAATAATATTTTTATATATTATATAATACATATTAATTATTTTCAATAAACAATAATGTTAATTAATATATAAATTATTAAAGTTTTTTAACGTTAAAATGCACATTAAAAATTGATAAAAAAAAAATATTGTCGCTTAATAGAATGCACAATAACGTTAGACTAAATACACATTTGTGTATATGAGAGTGCACATTATCGATTTCGGTATTTTGTAAATTATGTTTTTCAATTCATAATAATATAACAAAAAATATTAAATTGAACTATTAAAATAATGAATGTAATTTTAATATAAATAATGGGTTATTTATATAAAAAATATAATTTGAATTATTAGGTTAATTCGACTAATCAACTGTATAAAATTAAAATACACATTATTAAAAATTTCTAAAATTACAATGCACATAAAAATTTATTCGCTCATCTGGCAGCACACTAATGATATACCAGATGCCCATTAGTGTCTATAAGTATGCACATTATCTATTCTAGTTTTTAACATGTTATTCTTTTTTATGAAAATAATATAAAAATATAATTAAAAATTATTAAACTACTACATAGTTTTTTATAAAGTAAAAAATAATTATTTTGAATATTTAGAGTAATTTGATTAATCGACCCGATAAGCCCAATAAGTGGTTCAATTTCAATCTGATTTGAGACAAATTTTTTTATCTGTTCAGACTGCACAATAGCGATTAAATAAGTACACAATAGTGTTAAACGAATTGCACATTAATGACTATCAGATTGAACAATATTGATGTCAACTTTATTTAAAATGTACAAAAACAAATGGATCGAACTATACAAAAATATTATTTTGTTAAATATAGTTTTTTACATTCATATTTTTTCCATGGGCATAGTTGTATAGTTTATTTATTTTTATTCTAATAAATTATATTTAACACATGAATTAATCAAAATATAATTAGAGTTCTTAAAATTACATAATGGTCCCTACAAGTTATCTAATTTTCATTAACATGCCCCCTAAACCTAATATGTACCCGCACCACCCCGCCACTCCGCCACATACCCACAGCTTCAACACCACACCTTCACCATATTGCCGTCGGCGAGCATACTCAGCAGTAAGTTCGGCTTCATCATCCCGCCGGCAAGAGAATGTCGAAACCAGAGACACTGCCGGCCGACGCTGAATTGAGCAGCGTGTCTGGAGCTGGCGACGGGCGGCCGCTGAGCAAGGCGAGTGACTAGCGGATGTCTCGTTCGAGGCAGAGTGGTGATTGACGGGGTTGAGGCGGTGGCATCTCGTCAGAATTGCAGCGGCGTGCGGCAGATTTGCTAGACGGTGACCTTCTTAGGCTACGGACGACGGCAGGCGGCGGGCTTTGGCTGGTTGAGGTGGTGGCATCTCGTTGGACTTGCAACTGCGTGTGACAGAGCTGCCCTAGAGGGGAGGAATTGGTTGCCGGCGCTCGTCTAAGGCTACGGTAGTCGGAATCGCGGCGGCCGGCGGCGAGTTGTGGCTGGTCGGTGGTGTCCGGCGGCGAGATACTGTGCATCAGTGTGTGTGAACCGAGTCTGTGAGTACCAATTAAGTGTGTGTATATGTGTGTGAAGTGTGTGAGAGTGACGGGTAGGTGTGTGAAGTGTGTGAGAGAGACGGGTAGGTGGGGTGTGGTGAGTGACGTGAGGTTGGGTGATTGTAATATGTGGGTCCCATGGGTAGTGAGTCTAATGGCACATGTATCCTTAATGAATGGTCAAATACATATATTTGACTCCATGTTGACCATTATTTAGTGAAATTTGACTTAATCATGATCATTGATATGATAGATCTAATGGTACATATTTATTGTTATTTCTTTCATTAGGATTCAAATTATATATATATATATATATATATATATATACACACCAAATAATTTGATATGTTTCACACACTTTACAAAGAAGTATCGACCATAGCTGTAATATCCCATTCAGTAATTAATAAAAGTAATTATTTCAGTTCTAAGTTAGAACTATTTTACTTTTATTAATAATGATCTTTTATATTTTCAAGCCTTAATAAATCTCTTAGAATTTTATTTGGCTCGACATTAAAGTTAAATCAGAATCGTTTTTCATTAAATTGAGTTAGTCGAGTAAATGTTATAAATTGCCTAAGTATTTTATTTGACTTATATGATTTGATAAGTTATAAGGATTAAGTAGAAGTTATTTAGACAAGAAGGTCTATTTATATTATTAAGAATATATTCGAAATTATATTCGCAAGTTTCGAGTTTTTCGATGTTCGGTTGTAGACGATAATTAAGTCCGATTTCGTTTCCGAAAAATTTATTTTCTTATATCTTTTTACAAGTTTAAGATCATTAATAAGAGTTAAAAATTTTTAGCATAAAAAGGAAAAAGGCCAAAAGCAAAAGATGGAAATCTGAAATTTTCAGAATTTTCGATTTTTCGGTAACCGTTCGTTTTAAGTCAGAATTCGGTTCTGTAAATTGGAGATTTTTCATTAAGTCACGAATTTTATCATGGAAACTAGATTAGGATCACAAGATGGCCCTTTCTAAGTATTGGCTATAGATTTGAGAAGTTTACAAGTTATGATTTTTATTCTTTATCTTTATTTATTTTTATAACCATTTTTTTTAGTATTCTTAAGCAATAAATGAGCCATTTAAGACTAAATTCGAGCCATAATGGAGGATTGGTAAAATGGAGGAGTTTGTCTTGATATATACAAGATGAATCATGCATTACAAGTACTTTTCAAAGCTTACTCAACTTTGTGCATGATTTTAGAAAAACATTAATGGCGAGGGCCCTAATGAGTTTATTATGATGGAGTATTGATTTGAAGAAGGTGATATTGTCTCCTTTGCTACCCTATATAAAAGGGTATCACCATAGACTTGAAATTCACACAAAAATAAGCAAAGTCTTAGCTATAAAGTGAGGAAGAAAAATAGAGAGAAATCTTGACGAAGATAAGTTGAGATCAACTTCCGAAGTTTCATTTTCAAATTTCTTGAAGAAGGTTAGATGCTACCTTTTTATCATATGTTATAGTAAGTGAATATTGATGTATTTTCATGCCATATATATTTTTAAAGAAATTTTAAGCATGAAAAAGAAAATGATAAGTTGTTTTCAGCACAATCACATGTTATATATGTACTATTTTGATTTGAATTTGAGCATGATACGCATAACCTGGTATGTTAAGCTTATTATGGATATTTCTTGTGTAAGTGCTGAGTATATAGGTGAAAGAATTATGTCATTTGGCATAGTATAGCTTGAGTTATAAATTTTTGAAGTTAAGCATGCAAGTTGAATTTTATGTTCTTTATTTCAGCTGTGACTTTAAAATTTTAATAACTCGATATATACGCATGATAAAGTTATGAAATTTTTACGACATGCTTATATATGGGTTAAGAACATGACTGCCAAATTTCATGATTTTATGTTGAGAAATGAACGAGTTAAAATATTTATATGGCATACCTGTCAAGATGATTTTATATGCAAGAGTATTTAGTACATGGTTGAGTTTTTAAAATGGAATTTTTAGAAAAAAAATCTTATATGAGTGATGAGCAATTTGACCAAGTTTTAGTTTAATATGTTGAGTATACAATTTTATAAAGATTGTTGTAAATGGTCACATATTAATATTATGATGAAAAGTTTAGTATGATTTGAGTTATTTTTCACTTTCGAGATAATCAAGTGAAAAATGAGTATAAGCCATATGTATAAGATTTGGGAGAAATAATATGAGTAAGTATTTGATTGAGTAAAAGATCAAGAAAAGTTTGAACCATAACAAGAATATTGAGATTTTATAAGATTTGGATGATTTATCCGAAAGAGTTGAAAATCCGAGTATACGAACATAGTACTTAGTATATTTGTTTACGTATTTTTATGTAGCTTGAAGAGTTAGCTACTCGAGACCAACACTTACGATTTCAAAGGAGAAAGGTGGGGACCCAGACTGGGTATTACATTGAGTATAATATTGTTATCATGTTCGAGGTATGTATACAGTTTAAGTTTATACGCTTGGGATGAGGAGGCATTAATTTGTCTTGAAGATTATATCCTAAATTATGATGGAGGCGATACGTGCCTTAGAAATATCCATCAGATTGTGCACAAGTATCCGATAATATATCGGCCAGATTAAGTTACAGTTATTATATATATACCAAAGATCATGATATTGTATTATTATTGATGTTTACTTTAGTATGGGTATTAACGGGGTACAAAAGGACCAGTACTCACCCCCATTATGTTTTTCAGGTAACAGGGTCGGGCCGGAGGTGTGAGCAAATAAAGTGGTGGTGATAGTCGAGTACTCATTTCAAAGGACATTTGTAGTAAATGAAATAAGTCTGTATAATTATTCACGTTTTTAAGTAATTCCACTACGCTTATTAATATGTGAACTTGCATTTTAAATAAATTCAGATTTCAAGTTTTTATCATTTCATAAATATGAACATGATATAGTTAAATGCAAGTATATATATAAATCTGTTTTGTTATGTCTAAAATAAATAATTAGACAAAGTTAAAGTTAAACAGATTTTTAGGAAGGAGGAGTTTAAGTAGCATCTCGAGTTATTCGCAAAAAGATTTCGAAAGAGTTATAAGTAATTTCGAAATAAAAGTTGCGAAAAATTTACTCTGATAAGGGGGGTGTTACAATAACATTCTCCAGATTCATTAATATCGAGTAAATGCTTAGTAATATGAAAAATATAATATCACGACCTTTATCGCGATCGCAAACCTGATAATTTGATTTCATACTTTATCGATAAAATAGAAAAAATGATGTTCAAATTTACCATGAAATTAGTTGTCCAGCGTACAAAATAAAATCGAGACCCACGTACTTTATAGATGGAAACAAAAGAGACCCAATATAAAGTTATTAATAAATAATTAAATAGAAACTGTCATTAACAATTATTTTGAAATGATTTTATAAAAAATTATAATTGAATAAATAAATTGAATTTACACGATCTGCGTAATTAGGGTATCCTAAAATTGTACATTTTATGGTCTAATTATATCCTTAATTATTCACGAATATTTGAGTAATTAAGTACATAAAAAATTAATAACATTTATTAAATAATATTTAAAGAAAAATTGTCAATAACAATTTTTAGAACAGTTTTGGTGCAAATCACATAATTGATTATTGTTGTCGATGTTTCATAATTGTAATAATTATTTGCAGATTGAATAAATCAATTGTATTTTCAAATTTGCGTAATTAAGGTATATTAAAACTACATTTCACAAAAGAATTACACAAAAAATATAAAACACTTATTAAATAATAAATTACACATGTACAATTTAGTTGAAAATTTATTTACCAAATCACATAATTATTATTGCAGCCAAAATTCTCATATTTGGGTAAATCAGCCAAATCCACATGAATTGAGTAATTAAGGTATCATAAAAATGAATTTTTATATGACGTAATTATTTCCTTATATAATGAGCCGAAATTTCCATTAGTGATTATTTGAAATATACCATAAATTGTTTAATTTAATTTCCCAAAATAGTAAATATTTTTTTTGGAGAAAAATAGTTACTATTTAAAAAATAATCATACCTATATATATATATATATATAGGGGACGGATCCAATGAGACAACTCCTTAAAATGAATACGTGAGACTCAATCTTAGCCACTCATTTTGTCAACATCAAAATTAATTAAAATATACATTAATTAAATAATAAAATAATTATTAGTTGACTCCGGCGTTGACCGTGGACTTTCGGCGTTGACTTCCGGTGAAAATCGTTGACTTCCAGCGATGACCGTTGACAAATAACCTAGCAGCAAGAAATAAATAATCTAGCAACAAAAGACACTCAACCTTGAGTTGTGTAGTGGTTGCATTGCTTGTCTTGCTTCCATGAGGTACAAGGTTCAAATCTTATGGGTAACAATTTTTTTTTTTTTAAATAAAAAAAACCTAGCAACAAAAGACAACTAACCTAGCAGCAAGAAAGAAATATCCTAGTAATAAAATACAACCAATCTAGTAGCATCAAACAACTAACCTAGCAGCAAGAAAGAAATAACCTAGCAACAAAATACAACTAACCTAGCAGCATCAGACAATTAACCTAGCAACAAAACACAACTAACCTAGCAGCTACAGATAACTAACCTAGCAACAAAAGACAACTAATCTAGTAGTAAGAAAAAAATAACCTAGCAACAAAATACAACTAACCTAG